GATAGTAAGTTAAATAGTTAATTGTAAAAATTGATGAAAATTAAACCCGTCCTAAAATGCATTTATATGATCCTGTCATTGCATTATAACGCCATCTGCAAAAAAAAAAAAAAAAAAAAAAAAAAAAAAAGCCGAATTAGTTATCGCCCATTTTCACAGAAAGGAAATAAAGCAAATCAGTATAAAGTGTGGATTTTGATTGCAATCTTCGAAATTGGATCCTCTCCTGAGCACAAGCTCAAGATCCTGTTGATCAGTCCACGTAAATCATTGAATTTTGATCAAACGATTACAAATAGAATATTTTTTTAAAAATTATAATAATTGTAGTCGTTAAATTTTAATCCAACAGCTCACGTGAGCTGATCAGGAAGATCTTGAACTTGTGCTCTGAAGAGGATCCAATTCCGCAATCTTCTAATTGATCCTGTGTGTCAAGGCGGTCTTTATCGTCCACTTTCTTCAACAAAACTGTAGCAACGGCTGTGATTGCACCGCATGTGGGTCCCTGGTCTGCACCGTTAGCTTCTTGACCCCATTAGATGTTGACATTTTTCGTTTTGCACGTCCTCAAGACTCATATGTTTGATGGTGTCAACACGTGCCCAAGAGCGTGCTCACGAGTGCCTTAACACGGAAAATTCAAACCCACGCTCACTTTTGCACGCGCTCGGGTTGATTGTCTTTATTTTCTAATTTTTTTTAACCAACGATATTATCTACAATAAATGAGTGGAGTAATCAACTAAGCCTTATATTAGGCTAGTAATAATAATGTGGTTCAAATTTTCTGTTGACGATAATTGAATCTGAGACATCTTACTTATAAGTAAGGAATAATAACAATAAATTGTAGTATTAAATGAGTAATTTGATTTTTATCGTCCTTAGAATATCCTGCTCTCTTTCATATGTTATTATAGGACAATAAAAACCTGAATAGGAAAAGTATTAGTCTAATCAACAGAAATAAGAAGTATAATAGAATCTTGATAATTTAATTCTTGATAAATTAATAATTTAATAATATTTTTTGCCATTCCCAACTTGACGATGATGTGCTAATTTTTTTTTAAAGTAAAAAGAATTTATTAAGAAAGCATTAAGAATGTAGGTATGACAAACATGTAAAATGTAACAAAGAGGTCACATACTCCAAAAAATATCACACAAATTTACAATTACAAACTCATAAATGCAATATAATTTTCAACCACCATGGAAACCCATATCTAACTAATAAGAAATATAACAACCTTGTGAGTCGTAGAACCACCTTAATAAAATCACAAGGAAAAGACTACACCACCTTTGATGACGTTGTTAGCAAAAAAGCACTGCTACAAGTTACCTCCAATGAATATTGAGCTTCTTCCTCACAATCATTTGCCATGAACACAAACCAACAAAAGAAAAAAAAACAAAAATCAACCTTAACTATGATCAATAGTCGCAACTTAAATATTTGAGTTTGATTTGTAACCCATAGCCATCACAAAGGTCCTCGATAAAGCGAGAGTGCGACAACAATCACGAAAACTCTACTCGCCCTAGTGAAGGAGTGACCACAACTAGAAAAAAAAACGCGAAAGAAAATAGAAGGAAGATACCAAGGAAGATTGTCGCCAACCCCAAAGCCAATTGCAAGGGTCGACGACTGAGGAAATTTTCCCTTAGATTTTATTCTATAGATAACGGCTAGGGTTTTGCGTTGGTGAAACGAAGAATGAGAAAGATTTAGTTGACTATTGTTAAATTAATAATTTGCCAAACTTAGAAGATAATACAATAAAAAAAACATATAAGTCCCACGTAATATATAAATTAATAATTTCCTGATACATAGTGTTTATGATTCGACTATAAAGCCTTTATAAAATATGACTCAATCATTATTTATTTCTTCTTAAAATTGATGTCACTTTAGATATAATCTCTAACTTTCTAACATGATGAAAAGTGATGGTGTGATATTCAACAAAAAATTAATCAACATCATCACAGCATTGAGAGCTTCTTTTTGCTAAACGGGCTCTATAGTAGAACTATCATTCTTCGACTTCATCATCTTAAACATGTAACACCATCTATTTAATTAATTAATAAATTAATGATTTATCGATTATTTAATATTTCTTTAAATTAATAGATTTTGTTGGTCCCGATGCTAATGCTATTAATTTATAGAGGTTTGGCTGTAGTTTGACAAACAGAAACAATAATAAGGCGCGTGGTGACTTCAAAGCCACGTGGCTCCTTTTTATTGGGAGTCCTCAAGTAACTTGGGACTTTAGCCATTTGACTAGGTTTAGCAGTTTCCATCTGTTGTGTGCTGTGCTGTTGATCCCGCGTGTAGCTTAGTATATTTGTCCCCTCCCATAACTACCCACAAAACTGAGTTATTATTACGAAGCTAGCCTTCTATATTTCAACGGACATTCATGCATTCGCGGCCACTTACTACTATGGTCTATGGTCTAGTGGTATTATTATTTATTTGTAAATGAGAGATCTTAAGTTCGATTCTCTTTAAAAATTAATTTAAATCACATCCTTAATAGTCCATTGTGAGGTTAAGCCCACCTCATTTCCCTTAATATAAATATTATCATACGTTAAAAAAAAAAAATTGTGTGCCCTCTCTCATGATCTAGATTTTGGTGTAGTTCCTTATATCATAAGTTCATGGAAAATGCTTGAAAACTACGTTTTTTTGACATTTTATAGATCATATGATGTGACGGTTAATAGTTGGTTATATTCTTTATTGATTTTTTTTTTAAATTCAACCAAGGACCACCATATCATTTGGTGACGATACAAATTTTATATTTATTGTTGATTCACAAATCTTCTATATCTGACCTGATCACAACGAAAAATGTTTCAGCTAATGAGCTATATCATAAATAGATAAACCGATGAGTCTAATCGGTAACAATATTTGTATTCTTTGTCGAAGCCTTAGAAATCACTACGTCTAACCTAAAAATTATCAAGAAGAAGCATAGCAAGTTTGTTTTTTAGTATTATAAAACTTAAATAAACCTATAAAACTGTACTATGACAAAGTAAAATACAAATATGATTGCCGATTAGTATTACGATCTAGTTAGTATTTATTTTCACTTCTTAGCTTTAATTCTCGTTAAAGATCAATTTGAACCATATTATTGATAGCCCATTAGACCTACTCCAATCCTGGGCTAAATGCCAAATATTTAGCCCAAAATTCCCCCCAAACACCCCCCAACCCAAGCTAAAATATTGGGCTAAAAGGGGAATGCTAAAGTTGGGCCAAATTCCCCCCCAAATTCCCCCCCCCCCAGCCGCGTGGACTCGCCAAGTTTTGGGCCACTCTCGGCCCGTGGACTCGCGCACGCGCCCCACGCCCAGAACGTGCAACCGAAGCCCGACAAGAGGGGGTCCCACCGTCAGGCCCTGTCGGCCACGCTTCAGAGCCCCAACGGCTCTTTTCGAAATCCAACGGGCAGGATTTAAGGACCGTTGGTTGATCCAATGGTCCAGATTCAAACTTTATTTTTAAAAAATATATTATTTTAAAATACATTGAATCCAACGGTTGAGATTGAATATACTCAAATCTAACGGTAAAAAAAAAGATCTAACGGCCCAAATTTAAATCCAACGGCTAAAATAATTAAATAAATTTATTTAACACAAAATTTACCCAATATTTATCGGAATTTAATGATTTTTCAATATTTATCGGAATTTAAATTTTTTTAGATTAAAATGTTCATAAAATTAATTTACAATAATCTACATATTTATTTTTTTAAAAAAATATTGATTTAAGAAAAAAATTAGCCTAAATTCATTCTTTAATAATTCCGGGCTAAAATTTTAGGCCAGAAGGGTTGGAGCAGAAAAGATGTTTCTGGGCTAAAAGCCAAATTTTCCGGGCTAAAAAATTTGGCTTTTAGCCCAAGGGTTGGAGATGGTCTTATGAAGTTAAACATATCCCCTTCTCCTTAGTGTAAATAATATCGTTTGTTAAAAAAAAATATAGTGTCCCTTTTATTTGTGCTTGAAATTGAGAAGATAACGCAAAACAAATAGTATTAGCATTTAAATGCTAGCCAAACAAATGTAAATTTGATGTAGGGATGGGGAGAAAATATAGAAAAAATAACAACCTTTCGTAAATTTTAGGATTTAATGAATTAAAATATTTGTCCTACCAAAAATAGCAATATTCATCATAACATTTCCTTACAAAGTCATGCCATGTATATGAATGATACACTGTATTTTTTTGTAAAGTGATTAATTGTAAATGAAAATTGATTCTACCAAATACAAATCATTTGCACCATTTTTATGTCGTGCATGGCCTGTGTGACGCTGTGAGTTTAAAAAAAAAAAATTTTTTTACTAATGTTAAATCTTAAAATATTTATAAATTCTTTAACATTTATGTTACCAATAAAATTACGATAAAGCAGATGATTAACATTCGCGAGTGAAAGCGTTCAATATCACTACTCCCAGCCTTTACAATGACCTAGCTTCTCTGCCCTCCCGCTTTCCATACACTCCCATCTCCTCCTATTTGTGCAATCATGGTTAAACCACATCAACATTTTATATTACTATTGTTTTTTGTTTTATTATCTCTAAAAAAATATATATATAAAATGTAACGTAACTTAACCGTGACTGTATAAAATAAGAGAGAATAAGAATGTACGGGAAGTGGAAGGGCAGAGAAGCCGGGTTCCTTTGCAAAGCATTTGACGTCTAAGTACGAAAAAAAGTTGACAAAATAGAGAGAGTTTACCGCGTCCGGGATTCGATTAAAAGGTCAAGGTTTTCAGACAAGTCCCGTGTGAACTCCAGCGGGACCGTGTCTTAAAATTGCGTAATTACCGTCAAGATCCAAGGGTAGTTTCGGAAACTCAGGAAGTTAATAGGCGTTTTATTTTGTTAATTAAATCGTTAATTGGAACAAAATTATGTTAATAAACCTTTACGGAGTCCCGAAAAAATAAACCAAAGTCGCCAGAACAGAAAAAAACAAGAGCAAGAAAATCTAGTTGGAAAAAAACAGAGGGGGGCTTAATCTCTTCTGCAAGTTATTTGGATTTGTTGGAGGGGTTTAAGCTTCTCATTTGTCATTCAATATTTTTGATTAAATTATTTTTTGGAAAGAAATATCGGCAAAAATTGTAGTGGAAGGAGGAGAAGTTGGAAGGTTTTGTGGTTGCTGGAATTGGATTGTTTCTGTGGGAAGGGCTGGGAGTAGATCCAGAAGCAAACCCAAGTCCCTGATCTGATCAGTTTATCTGTAAAAATGGTATTTTTATATATTTTATTTATATTTCTGTTGATTTTTTTTGGATAGTTTATTGGTTTGGAGTTCTGTGATTTTGTTATTGTATGTAGGTTGTGTTTAAAGATTGGAATTTGTTGATGATTTCATGGTTGTGTTTGGTTTTCTTGCTTGTGGACTGATCTGTGTTTGGTTTGGAGCAGAACAGAGATTTGATTTGCTTTCGTTGTTTTATGTTTTGTGTCATTTGGTCTAGATGAATGTCATTAGGATTTGTTTACTTATGCTGTCATGTTGAAATGCCCGTCCGGATTTAGTGAGCAACCGCTTCGAGCTTTGTCTTCGGCAGCATAAACGTATTGGCAACGTTGCTTAAAGTTTCGGAATTTAATTGACAGGAATGAGACTTTATAACTCAATGTGATTTGAACTGAAATGCCCGACTGTATTCAGTGAGCAACTGTTTCGAGCTTCTTCTTAGTAGCATTGACATATTGGCAACACTGTTTAGGGTCTAGGAATTTATTTGACTAGAGGGAGACTCTGTAACTCAATGTAATCAGTAATTTGGATGTCAGTTTCTGGGGTTGCCCTGGCAATGACTCATTGGTTCAGCTCCCGTATGCAATGTACTAGTATTCAGGCTGCAGATTTCACGGGCATGCCTAAATCAGTCACTGAACATCAGTTAGATTTGTTTGGCAGTAGGAATATAGAGTCTTGGAAGTGAAACTGGTAACGATGTGGTTGTTTTTGAGTTGCCAATAATTTTGAGTTGAGTTGAACTTCAAAAGGTTCATTATTCAGCTTAACTCATGCTGAATCTAGCTTATTTATCAGTCAGCTCATTTAAACCGCTGACACTCTTTTCCCGTTTGAGTGGTTAACTATTTTTTTTTATCAATCATCAGAGAATGCATTATTTTCTTCATCTTCTTCATTTTGGATTGGATCACTCCTTTTTTTTTGTTTTTCTCAATTGCACATATGCTGACTCTTCTGCTTAATTCTGTTGAGTTCCTTTGTTTTAAAAATTAAAAGAAAATCTTTCGGATACACTATGTGTTGTTGTCGTTACAATAAATTCTTGTTCTAATAATCCACTGGGTATATTAACTATTGGGACTCTATACTCTAGGCTGCTGCTATTAGTCTTGTGGTTGGATCTCTTGTTTGGATCGAGGATCCTGAAGAAGCTTGGCTCAATGGTGAAATTGTGGAGATTAAAGGTGAAAACTACAAGGTTCTCTGCACTTCAGGAAAGACGGTGGGTGCATTTTATTTTTGTTTACTACGAATTTGTGCATCCCGACCTCTGTAATTATGTTCAATGTTGAATCATTTAGCCTGTTCTGATAGTTCTGTGGATCTTCCTTGCTTTCCCTATTTCTCGTAGGTTGTCGTTAAAGCCTCAAATGTCTATCCTAAAGATGCTGAGGCCCCACCCTGTGGAGTGGATGATATGACCAAGCTGGCTTATTTGCATGAACCAGGTGTCCTAGATAATTTACGGTCAAGATATGATATCAATGAAATATATGTAAGTATTGACTAAATTAAATATGTTCTTCCATCTTCTTGCGTATGTGAGTGTGCTTTTAATTTTAACTTTTAGTATATGAAAGCCAATGATCTGATGTACTAAATGCTGCTTCCAGACGTACACAGGGAGCATTTTGATTGCTGTGAACCCTTTTTGTAGACTACCTCATCTGTATGATAGCCATATGATGGAACAATATAAAGGGGCTGATTTCGGTGAACTAAGCCCACACCCGTTTGCTGTTGCAGACGCAGCATATAGGTACATTTTCACATTCTCACTGCTTATTTGTTTATTTATGTGATCTCTTCTTGTCCAGTGGTGTAAGGTTCCATTGGTTTGGTTGGTTACAGACTTATGATTAATGACGGAATAAGTCAGTCAATATTGGTTAGTGGTGAGAGTGGGGCTGGTAAAACAGAAAGCACCAAACTGCTTATGCGCTATCTTGCCTACATGGGAGGGAAAGCTGCTGCTGAAGGGAGGAGTGTTGAGCAGCAAGTCTTGGAGGTACCAAGGATTTAGAACCTCAGTTTAAGTTGCAAACAGATATGAGAAGTCATAAGATTTGATACAATTTATGGTCCACAACTATTTACTTTCTTATCTCTGTTTTTTCTTTGTATGATGTTAATATGTTTTGGTTTCTCTTGACTTTCAGTCAAATCCTGTTTTAGAAGCATTTGGGAATGCGAAGACTGTTAGAAACAATAATTCCAGGTGAGAGGGTCTTTATTCAAAATGTTTCTTCACGTCTTGAATTTTATGTTTACTACATGCTCGATTTGGGTATAACTTTATTTGCCTGTCTTGATTGCTGCAGTCGTTTTGGTAAGTTTGTGGAGCTTCAGTTTGATAAGAATGGGAGGATCTCCGGGGCTGCAATAAGAACATACTTGCTTGAAAGATCGCGTGTTTGTCAGGTGTCCAGTCCTGAAAGAAACTATCACTGTTTCTACATGCTTTGCGCTGCACCACCTGAGGTAAATGAATCTCTTAATATGAAATTAAATTCAAGGAGAAGCAGAAACCCTTAGTCTCTATGTTTTCAGGCAAAGTTCAAGGTTTCTTCTCTAACAATTTGGATTGGCTTTTCTTTGTCATCTCCAGGATGTTCAAAGGTTCAAATTGGGACACCCAAAAACATTTCACTATTTGAATCAATCAGATTGTATTGAATTGGATGGGCTTGATGATGCCGAAGAATACATTGCTACAAGGAAGGCAATGGAGGTTGTTGGAATAAGTACTGAAGAACAGGTATTAATGATAGAGGGTACCTTCAAGTGTTAAGACTTCTCAGAAGTGGCCTTGAATTATAATTAACCTTTGCAATTGTATTTAGGATGCCATATTTCGAGTTGTGGCAGCAATTCTACATCTCGGAAACATTGAATTTGCAAAGGGAAAGGAAATGGACTCGTCCATGCCGAAGGACAACAAGTCTTTGTTCCACCTAAAAACTGCTGCTGAGCTTTTCATGTAATTATGCAATTTCATCGACACATTGTCACACACAAACTGGTGCTCTTATATTAAGTTTGCTTCTCCATATTCTATAAATTAATGAAATGCATCCTTTTCTTTCAATGAATTTTGTTTAGGTGTGATGCGAAGGCGCTAGAAGATTCTCTTTGCAAACGTGTTATTGTTACGCGTGATGAAACAATCACAAAATGGCTGGATCCAGAAGCCGCAGCTGTCAGTAGAGATGCTTTGGCTAAAGTTGTGTACTCGAGATTGTTTGATTGGTAAGCTTCTATACGAAAAAAAGCTTGACTGAAGATATAGCAGTATGGTCTTTCCTTGGTTTTACCGTTTAACATTTGGAACCATAGTTGAAACTGAGGTTACTTATGCTGGTATCGCTGTAATTTCCCTTGTTTGTGCAGGCTGGTGGATAAGATTAACAATTCAATTGGTCAGGACCCTGACTCAAAGTTCTTAATTGGAGTTCTCGACATTTATGGATTTGAGAGTTTCAAAACTAACAGGTGCTTCATTGGTATTCCTTTTGTTTACATAATTGACATGAAATAGTTTCGTCAAGTGAAGAAGTATCCCCCTTCATCAAGTCATTGCTCTCATGATCATATAGCAGTCCACTGTGCCCCACTGCACACGCTAGATTTCAACCAGATCCTATTGAGTATTGTAAATTTATCGTATTAGGTACCACTTATATGATCTTCCCACTCTTTACGGACAGCCTAGGGTTGGTTGGAAAATTCACAGTTTGTAAGAGAGACATGATGGTCCTAGTATCCATAAGATGCATTGATAATATGATTTACATTTCAGCTCATTAGAGTGTGATGATCCATTTATTAGAACTTGTTTGGTCTTTCTCCTGATGCATGGTTGCTTATGAATTTTGCAGTTTTGAGCAATTTTGCATCAATTTGACGAATGAGAAGCTTCAGCAACATTTCAATCAGGTTTGTCGGTCAATGGACTCCCTATTTTCTCTATCTTCAGCACTTATTCAGTACATCTAATTTATGTTGCTTATTTTATTTGGGCAGCACGTTTTCAAAATGGAGCAAGAGGAATATACAAAAGAAGAGATTGATTGGAGTTACATTGAATTTGTTGACAACCAAGATATCCTAGATATGATTGAAAAGGTTTGTGCTGTCTAACTCGAATACAGTAATTTCTTTCTATGTTGCTATTTAACACCATGTATTTATATGTATATTTAGTTTAAATTTTTTGTGAATGTACTGTCCAAGTACTTGTGTTGATTTGGTTTTTTGTTGTTATAATTATTCACATATTTTTATGATGATTCTTGTGTTAGAGTTCTTATGATGTTTTTAAATTTAACTCTGTTTTATTTCAGAAACCTGGTGGCATAATTGCTCTTCTCGATGAAGCTTGGTAAGTGAAATAGTTTGGATTAGCCTGTCGTTTTATGTCACGTTGATTTCCTTGACTTACCATTGCTTAAAAACTATTTTGATACTCTTTTATGGTGCGATAACTGAGGCTTATTTTTTGTAGTATGTTTCCAAGATCGACACATGAAACATTTGCTCAGAAGTTATATCAAACATTCAAAAATCATAAGCGCTTCACCAAACCAAAATTGTCACAAAGTGACTTCACAATTTGCCATTATGCTGGTGATGTAAGTATACTTGTTTGCTGACCTCTACGGTTACTGCTAGTTTTAGGGATTAATGTAATATTTTGTGGTTATAGAGTTTAGTCTTAGCTGTACCAAGTAACAAGGTTAATATAACTTTCAGGTCACTTATCAAACTGAATTGTTTCTGGACAAGAACAAGGACTATGTGGTTGCTGAGCATCAAGCGCTTTTGAGTGCTTCTACATGTTCCTTTGTCTCGGGCATGTTTACGTCGTTAGTTGAGGATTCATCCAAGTCGTCAAAGTTCTCTTCAATAGGTTCTCGGTTTAAGGTCTGATATCTTTTTTTATTTTTTTTATTAAATTCTGTTTAAGCAAATGATTTGTATATTTTCTTAGTTTTGTGAGTTATTAACACCTCATTTGTACTTTATGCAGCAACAACTGCAACAATTGCTTGAAACTCTCAGTTCTACGGAGCCACATTATATTCGGTGTGTAAAACCCAACAATGTTCTTAAGCCAGCAATCTTTGAGAACAAAAATGTTCTGCAACAACTTCGTTGTGGGGTAAGAGAATGTTGATATCTTTAGGTTGTTTTTTTCCTGATAGTGTTGTAATTAAGATTCCCGGCATTTATACATGGTCTGAATTCAGGGGGTCATGGAAGCAATCAGGATAAGCTGTGCTGGATATCCTACTAGAAAAGCTTTTGTTGAATTTGTAGACCGATTTGGCCTCCTTGCACCCGAAGTTCTGGATGGGAGGTATTTATACTTTTTGTTATGGGTTGGGGGGTTTTAAATCTTGATTGGTCACATCATTGAAGTTCCTAACCTTTTTTCTTTCCGCTTATGTTATACTTTAGCACTGATGAGGTCAATGCTTGCAAGAAACTTTTAGAGAAGGTGGGCCTAGAAGGCTATCAGGTAAATGCTGATCCAATAATCAATTTTGCTTCTCAGCTTGAAATTCTAATACAGTGATGCTCTCTTTAGAAGTTGGACATTTTTTTTGGGTACTGTTGGTGTCTTAATTTAATCCTTGACGGAATGATGTATTTAATTTATATTATCCTCTAGGCAAAATAGTGTTCTCTCAAACTAAACCTAACCTACTAGCTTATTCATATTTTCAGATTGGTAAAACGAAGGTCTTCCTTCGGGCTGGTCAGATGGCGGAATTGGATGCTCGTAGAAGTGAGGTCTTGGGAAGATCAGCTAGTATTATTCAAAGGAAAGTTCGTTCTTATTTGGCTAAAAGAAGTTTTATTTTGCTCCGTCTTTCTGCAATACGACTCCAAGCTGCTTGTAGAGGTAGATTAATTAGATGTTAATTTGAGTTTTCAAGAACTTTTGTCTATTGATTCCTTGAGGCTTATTGCTGTGATGTTATGGTCATGTCAATTGTAGGACATCTTGCTCGACATGTCTATCAGGGCATGAGGAGAGAAGCTTCCAGTCAGATGATCCAAAGGCATTTGCGCATGTATCTTGCTAGGAAAGCTTACAAAGAATTGTATTGCTCTGCTGTATCTATTCAGACCGGTATGCGAGGGTTAACTGCACGTAATGAGCTACGCTTTAGAAGGCAGACCAGAGCAGCAATTATCATCCAGGTAAAATGATAAAATAGATCAATGTTATAAACAAAATATGCAGCTCTATTTTTATTTTGTTTTTCTTAGCCATGTGGAAGTTACGCATGAAATTCCAATACCACTTTTTTGAATTTCAAAATGTTTCAAGGAGTGATTTAAAACTTTAAATGTCTATCATGCCTTCCTATTGCTATATCTGGCTATCTGGCTAAAAAGATCTAATGTTTCATATATTTTCCCTAAATGATTCTCTTTGATGATTGTAGAGTCACACTCGCAAGTTCTTGGCACGGTTGCATTATAGGAAGACAAAGAAAGCTGCAATTACCACACAATGTGCTTGGAGAGGAAAGGTTGCTTGTATGGAACTACGAAAGCTTAAGATGGTAATAAGCTCTCTTTTTATGTTTTCTTTCATAGCAAGGTCTGTTCAATGAGACATATGCATTATTAGGTTTAAGTTTGGACATTTTAACTGAAGAATGGAATCTTTTGGAGATGTATCAATCTACAATGTTTGGAGCCAGATAATTTTCCCAAGTGCTACCGAAATAAAATTTCTTGTCACGTTTCTTTAATTTTGTTTCCCTTCTGTAGCAGCTGAGAAGTTAAGTTTGTTCTTTCGACTGTTGGCAATTAAATCTTAGAGGGTCTCATTTCATTATTGTTATATTATGCAGGCTGCAAGGGAAACGGGAGCTCTCCAAGCTGCCAAAAATAAATTAGAAAAGCAAGTTGAAGAATTGACATGGAGATTACAGCTGGAGAAACGCATAAGGGTATGCATGATAATGAATTTACTAAAATGCGTGTAAAGTTGTTATACAGGTGTTTTGGCTAGGCATACAACAACTTAGATTGTTCTTTGCATCATCTTCTTGAGCAAAACTACTTTGGGGATGGTGGTTCTTGCTATCCTGTGTCTCTCATTTGAATGCTATGTTCTCTTGCTTGTAGGCCGACTTGGAAGAAGCCAAAACACAAGAAAATGAAAAACTACAGTCTGCTTTGCAAGAGATGCAAGTTCAATTTAAGGAAACGAAGGCGATGCTTGAGAAGGAGCGTGAAGCCTTAAAAAGAGCAGAAAAAGTAGTCTCGGTAATACAGGAGGTTCCAGTTGTTGACCATGGCTTGATGGAGAAGCTAACCAATGAAAATGAACAACTTAAGGTAAAGGGCTCAAAAGTATAGAATTTGTTGTCCAGGACTGTACTTTGATATTTTAGAGTTGATACATCAAGAATGTACGCTAACTTTGGGGAAATGAACTCGGACATTTCTATTTGCTGATAAATTTTAACCTTGCATCCCTATTTACTTGTGTGTCTTGCTGATTAATATGTTGCAGGCTTTAGTGAATTCACTGGAGATAAAAATTGACGAAACAGAAAAGAAATATGAAGAGGCAAACAAAATGAGTGAAGAAAGGTTGAAGCAAGCTTTGGAGGCAGAATCACAGATTATTAAGTTAAAGACGAACATACAAAGGTTATTTGAGTAAGCTTCTTTTGTCTGAATATCGTTCAAATTGCGACCAGTCATCACTCTCTCGCTCACTCTCTCTCTCTCCCAGTTATTTATTTCATAGTGATTGTTACTTTCATTCGCAGGCTTGAAGAGAAATTTGCTGACATTGAGTCTGAAAACAAAATTCTTCGGCAACAGCAAATAAGTACACCTGTTAAAAGGGCACATGAGCACCCACCAATTCCACCAACTCCAGAAACTCATGTAGCACTCCTCTCTTATGTTTCCCTGTCCTCCCTCCCTCCCTCCCTCTCTCGCTCTCTCTCTCTCTCTCTCTCTCTCTCTCTCTCTGTGTCTCTCTACACACACACACACACACCCACCCACCCACCTCTTTATTGATTTATGCTATTATTTCACAGAGAGTAGAAAATGGTCACCATTTGAGCAAAGAGAGCAGAGCCAATGTAATTTTACTTCTCTCTTCTCTGTTGCTATCACTCTTCTTTTATCTTTCCCCCTCATATATCCGCTCCCTATCTTTTTAGCAATTGACAGAAGCGTCTTTGCAGGAACCACAAAGTGCAACACCGAAGAAGTTTGGCACTGAATCTGATAGCAAGTTGAGGAGATCACTTGTTGAACGTCAACATGTATGTTCTAACTAATACGAACATCCTTTGATTAGGTTGGCTTCTTTTAACATTGTGCCTGGTCCTTTTCCACAGGAGAGTGTTGATGCTCTTATCAATTGTGTCGTGAAAAACGTTGGGTTCAGTCAAGGAAAGCCTGTTGCGGCCATTACCATCTACAAGTGTCTTCTCCACTGGAAATCTTTTGAGGCTGAAAGGACTAGTGTGTTTGATCGCCTCATCCAGATGATTGGTTCCGAAATTGAGGTAATTGCATTACTTTGTATAAGGTTTTCTGTAGGAAGTGAAAAACAAAACTGAAATCTGATGCTTTTAAGAATGAGAAATATGACAGAAATTATGCATAATCAATTAATCTGTCTATTGATTCCAGAACCAAGACAACAATGATCACATGGCATACTGGCTATCAAATACATCTGCATTATTGTTCTTACTCCAACGAAGTCTGAAGGGTGCTGGTGCAAAGAAACCACCCGCTCCAACATCTCTCTTTGGGAGGATGACCATGGTATCCAGATTCTTCAATATAATCTTTTTTCTACTTTCTCTTTGGTTCTTTTTGCTTTATATTTCGTTTGGAATGCATTATTATTTTGATTATTTCTTGGACATTTCACTCCTGTTTATATAATATGGTTTTGAAATTGCAGGGTTTTCGCTCATCCCCTTCTTCTGCAAACCTTGCACCTGCACTTGATGTAGTACGCCAAGTGGAAGCCAAGTACCCAGCATTATTATTCAAGCAGCAGCTTACAGCATATGTGGAGAAAATATATGGCATTATTCGAGACAACTTGAAAAGAGAGTTGAATCCATTGCTTTCTTTGTGTATCCAGGTACGCTGAATTTATTTGACTTCTTGTCTGACTGGAAAAAAAAGAATCTTAGTCCTACCAAGAGGTGCAGTGGCTGTGATACAATTTCGGATATAAATCCAATTCATCTCTTGTGGTTTTTGACTTTTTTTGTCTTGTTCCTAAACATTTTTGAATGAGTCTCTGTTGAAATTGGTTTCATTATCCAATTGTTTTTGTTTCTTCACTTTGAACTTTGTTTTTTCATCTGTCATACAGGCACCAAGAGCGTCAAAGGGTGTACTAAGATCTGGTCGGTCCTTTGGGAAAGATTCTCCAGCGAGTCACTGGCTGAGCATTATTGACAGCCTTAGCACTTTCCTTAGCACATTGAAAGAAAATTTTGTAAGAAACTTATTGTACTATTATATACTAATTTTGGCTAATGCCATACATTTTACTTCGTGTTATTCCTATCTTAATTCTTTTTTTGGGGTTTCAGGTGCCTCCTGTTCTTGTCAAGGAGATCTTTACTCAGACTTTCTCCTATATTAATGTTCAACTGTTTAATAGGTAAGTACTTTTTTCTGCTTGGATGTTTCATTGGTTATGCCGAAAAGTTCATTTATACCGGAGCATGTTATTCTTTTCCAGTCTTCTTCTACGTCGTGAATGTTGTACATTCAGCAATGGGGAGTATGTGAAATCTGGATTGGCTGAATTGGAGCTGTGGTGTTGTCAAGCAAAAGAAGAGGTGATTCTCCCCCTTGTTAGTAAATTGCTCAATTCATCCTTATTTATTTTCTGACTTTCATTGGCTTCATCTCCCTGGATTCCAGTATGCGGGCTCATCGTGGGATGAACTTAAGCACATAAGACAAGCAGTTGGTTTCCTGGTAGGCTTAACCCCCTTTGTGTCAAACGAAACATATTTGTGTATTTGTCATTTTGTTAGTAAACTCCATATTGTAGGATATATCTCTCTCATTATAATTTATTTCATTAAATAATTGGCGATGGAACTTATTTTATCTTTAACTCACATTGACTAACAGGTCATACATCAGAAGTACAGAATTTCATATGATGAAATCACCAATGATCTGTGCCCTGTGAGTCTCTCTTTCTCTCTCACTCTCTCTCTCTCTCTCTCTCTCTCTCTCTCTCTCTCTCTCTCAAATGGTCCAGCTTATTCTCCAAAGACACACTCCCACTCAACCAACACTTTTTCTCTCATCTCTCTCTGATATTAATTCTTCATTTCTTCAGATCCTGAGTGTTCAACAGCTGTACAGAATATGTACTCTCTATTGGGATGATAACTACAACACCCGAAGTGTATCTCCAGATGTAAGTTTGTTTATGACGATATCTTCTTTAGTTAGCAGTATTTGGATTCATATCGTCCAGGGATTTTTATTCTTAACAATCACCATATTTATCATTTTACAGGTAATTTCCAGTATGAGAGTACTTATGACTGAGGACTCGAACAATGCTGTCAGCAACTCATTTTTGTTGGATGACAATTCCAGGTGAGCTTTCTTTTTCTCATGTGTTCTCTGTTAATTAATTACTGGAAGAGTTTGTATGACAGAGAGTGAAGGAAAATGACCATACACGTATAAACTTGCATGAATGCATGCAAAGCAATGCATAAAATGAAACCATGCTTTCTACGGGATGCAATCTAAACTATCTAGCGATTGAACGTTTATTTGCTTTATTTAATTTCCATTTACCCAGTGAAGCCTGGCACTTTGAATTGTCACTAATCCGTGCTTCTTAATATAGCATCCCCTTCTCGGTTGATGACCTCTCTACGTCCCTGCAAGAGAAGGAGTTTTCAGATGTCCAACCAGCAGAGGAACTTCTTGAGCATCCTGCCTTTGAGTTTTTACATGAGCGAGGCTAAGGAAGCTTGGAATTGATTTTCCCTAGTTTTCTCTAGGTAGGACAGTAATTCAAATTCTATTGCATTTGTTTGTAAATCTTTTTTCTTCCTTTTCTTTCCCCGTTTTATATCCATGCCCCTTCAGTAAAATTCTTTATTCATTCTTTTATTTGGGCATTCCAAGTGTAAAATCCTCGCCGTCGAAAGGGGAAGCAGATACATGGAAGTGGGTGTGCATTCTTTTTTCTTTTCTCCTTTGTCTAGTTTCTTCTGCCAATCTATGCAGGAAGATAGATATTTGGAGTACACATACTTTCTTGTAGTGTGGTGGCTGAGCTATTTCTCTCTCCACCAATTTTTTGTTTGTACAAAGAAACAATATATATACAAGTCTTACTACATAATTTTAAGGTGTTTTTTGGATCAGATTCTGGCCTTTTTTCTGCAGTTAAATGACAGTTTTATTCATTTTTGAACTTTTTGTTTCTGGCTCAAAAGATTAAGAGTCTGTTAACTAGTGAGATTCTCCTCGTGCTGTCGGGTTCGCCTTTTATGGGAGCTGAAGTAACGATTAGACGTGAGAGGGCTGGGAGACGATGGACGTTTACACCGGCCCTGCCAAGAATTCATGCTTCCAGGACTGCAGTGTGTTGTATGAGGAGGGTGCTAAAAAGAACATAAGAGATGGAATGCCTATGGTGTTTCCCAATTCCATTTGAGTTACAAAATGGGGCTATTTCTACGTCCACTAAAAGCAAATTGTATTGTGGAAGTTTGGGTTCCTCTACCCAAAACCTACTAAACAATAAATGAATGGGGATATCCTTGAACTCGAATGAATATCAAATTGAGGGATGGTAAATTATACAAGGTGGCTTGATCCATATAATGTGATGGTAAGTTCCCATTCCGATGATAAAATCTTACCTATGGGCAACAACGTTATTCTTCTCGTCACGGAACTTGTCGTGTGATGAGAGATAAAACTTCTGTTTAGCCTATTTAAGGAAAAATTCGATCCTCTCGCCAGTCATATACAACTGTCGACACCCAAGAGTTTGTCTCCTCAAAAAACCTAATTGACAATTTGACATGCAATAAAGCCCTCTTGTGCATCACCATCTTTGACTTCAATTTTTTCTCTTCCCAACTGTTTCACCTCTCTCTAAACCCTAAATGTAAAGTCCAAAAACATTGAAATCAAAGAACAAGTTGATGAAATATTTAAATCCTTGGCAAACTTGACTTCCTAAACATAAATGCACACGGACATCTTGAAAAGCAAAGCAAAAATTGATTCAAATCCTTTTGTTTCTCCCTAGCCATGAGGATTTCACATGGCACTTGCCGAGTACCTCCATGTATTTCACAAGGGACTTCACCGTGCCCTTCTCAGCCACAAGAAAATCCTCATTCCTCACTCTGCCTCTGGACCATATAGCAAGTTTAGACTGGACCACCCTATGATTTTCTTCGTACTAGTACAACTGGCCCTTCGTCTGCTTGGTTTGTATAGCTTGCTAAACCAGTCGTATTGCACCACATTGGACCCTATCCACTATCCACTGAAGGCTACTTTGGGTCCATGTGGTTAAATTATGAGGGTCAGCTGACTCAACCAATTTTGTCACTCCGGTATTTTGGTCCATGGCTTATAGGTCCCCTCACTTTTCTCTATCTATTCTCCTCCTGCCACTTGGAAATTAGACAAAAACCACACATCGTGTTATGCAAGCAACAAAATTTTATCTGGCTTTATTGGGTCCATTTCTCAAGCATTTGTACACAGTTACAAAACGTTTTCGTTCGAGTGCGTTAGCATGTTATGTTGTTAAACTATTGATGAAGTAGAATTACGTCTGGATGTCCTCCCTAAAAATTTTAGTTGAAGTTTGTTCAAGTTGAATAAGTAATAAGGTTAGTACAAAAAGTTATCTAACATTTAGCGGTTATCTCAAATTGGTCACAACTTTTTAAAATACTTTCAATAACTATTAGGTCATTATCGTTAGTGATAACGTAAGAAATATTGAAGCTGGTTAACTCTCACATATCTATGGAGCTGTGAATTCCCAAAACGGCCCCTTTTAACAAGTATATTTAAGGTTTAACTTGGCTAAATAAACTCAATTTGAGGATTCATAGCTTCATAGATGACATGTCAATGAAAATCAACTTCATTATTTGCCTAGATCCTCACTTCACACTAATGATGCTATCAGTTAACGTTGATGACCTAATGAATGTCGAATTTTCTAAACGTTGAATGGTTACTAGCTCGTACAATAACATACAAATTGATAAGCTTCATTTGTATGTTTGCTGCCCAAACCCTCATCTCTATCAATTCCTTTGACTGTAATGATACAAGTTAAGATTCATTCTTTATATAAAAAAAAAAAAAAAAAAACCAAACTATGTAGCCGACGTGATTTAGAATTCGCAATCCTTAATAATAATGTACTCTAAATTTGTCTTTTACTCGATGGAGGATGAATAAGATGATGTTGACCTAATGGGAGAAGTCCGAGTGTGTCACTTTCATTATCACATGGCACATAAAAAACATCCAAGTTGAACCTCTCTTAATTTTTAGATCATCATTTTCATATGGCTTATCATATTTGTTTCCAATTTGTGGTCATGATATATTCAAAGTTTTCCAATGATTGCAGCCAAGAATTCTTATCATCGGTTACGTTACGACAAAATGTTACTGTGAATCGTTTATACATACGTAATGAGTGCTATTTGTAATTAATACATTACGCGTGTTAATTTCAAAGTATTTTAGGTTGTACATATTTGGGCAAGCATGCCTCTATTGGTGAAAGACAAATTAACCAAGCTTTTCAAATATCTAATTTGTCACTAGTATAACTGTATACGTATAATAGTATAAAGTTTCCAAAGTAGCCAACTGTCGTCCTCGATGCAGAATCTGACAGCTGACTAAAAAGGTTTTGAGAAGGAAACGTTTTGGTTAGTAGCACTAATGCTACTAATTAGCATAATTAAGCATCTCACACCGCATGTTGATTTTCAATAACTAACTAACTAACTAATTAATTTATATACTAAAAGATAATGGGCTGGTTTGAAACTTCTCTTAAAATGGCTGAAAATGGTTTTGTCGAAATATTTTTTGGACCAATCTGTACAAATTCAAGTGAATTCTAAAAAAAATACTTGCAGTGCTTCATACGAGCACATAACTGGAGCTTTTATAACCTAAAAATGTTTTTTTTAAAAGCATTTTCAGTAATTTTAAAAACACTTCTAAACGAGCCTAATGTGGTTTGCCACAACTATACCAAAAGAAAATAGCAAAAATAAGAAATAAAAAATCCAAATGCATTGATTTGGTCATAGTCAATGGTGCCCCTCTTAATCAGTATAATTGAACAATTATATGGATTATGGAGATTAATTAGTTGGTTAAAAATCAAGGTTTATAGGTGATGATGGGTGGCTGATCATATATCTGTTGCACATGTATTAGTTGGGTAAAATGGAATTTTAATTTGCTAACAACAATGGCATTTGACTAATTTCTCACTAACAGTATAATTGAAGTCACTAATATTATTCCAAAATTGTCTTTACAATCGGCTGATCCATGTGGTCTCATGTGTTTCAAAGAATCGAGATCTCTTTGTTCCTAACTGGTCAAACTCCATTCAAGACGTAATCGTAGGCTAATCTCTAATTATATATGGTTTAAGGGTCACGTTCTGGTTTGAAACCCTAAACGAGTAGTTTATCAGAAATACTATAAGATGCTTGCAGTTAATGTAGTTGCAAAGTTAGTTAAGATCACCCATTCATGTTAGAGAGTAGTAAGCTTAACGATTTTGTTCAAAACATAATCCACATATTCAAAGGTAGAATCGCCGACTTTCTCCGCATTTAGTTTCTTTTATTATTAGAGTTTGGAAAATATTTCTTATAATTTCAAAATTTTCCCTCAATATAAATGGTCAAACGGTATATTAATTAGTACGTTTTTCTTTTATTATAAAGATTTTGAATCTCGAATGTCTAACCTAATTCTACTTATTCTTCTACATTCTACATGCGTTCATCACTAATTAAATTTCAGTGCCTTACTAATCAGTTAATAAAGCATTATTGGAAAACGTTGAGATCTATAGCATTGCCCTCTATTCACTTGATGATGATTATATACCTCTGTATATTACCATCTAAGTTTTTCATCAAAAATTGATTTGGCATAATATTAAGCGTGGTGGTTGCAAAGTTTGGTTTGCACAAATACTAAACAAATGGTTGACTTTCCCCACATAAAACCCAAGTGACTCTACCCTCTAATTTTTGGTATTTTTGTTTTTTCTTCAAAATACTAACCCCACCATAAAGTTTTGACTTTCCAAATGGGGAAATACCCGGGTCTCACCCACTAATATTGGTTTGTAACTATGAGATGGGTCACATCACATGGATTGAATTTGAGTAGTAGCTCTTATTGTGGCATAAATAAATAAATAAATATATAAGAAAAAACATAAAAAATAAATAAAATTGGTAGCTCGCATGACAAGATACTTACATACATTTAATTTCTGGACGGTTAGGATCATTCAGCGACGATCATACTCCATCAAATTTTCTGTAGTTGCAAAGCTAATCCAACGTGTCGAAGCCGGGCTTAGATATAGTGCCTGACATGTGGAACTCTGCATGCAAATACTGAAGCCATGAAACATTCATAATAATAATAATTTTTTCCGGAGTTTCTTCTCTACATTCTGCTCTGATCTACAGTAGCCAGGGTTCGAGGACAAATGTAGCTAGGGTTCCGAGGACCAATTTTAAATAAGATGCATTATTTTTGTTAATAATTCAGTTGTATGGCAGGTTTGGGAGGATTGAGGAGCATGAGGCGGCCAATGGAGATTGACGTGTATATGTGCATGAATCTCATAGCACCTAAAACACCCACGTAGACAAAACATTATTTTTTGTGTTGGGCACGTAGATGTATTTATTGAAGAAGTTCCAACCTGCAAAACTTGGTTTCTCGAGGAGCCTTGAGATTCTGACAGAAAATATGAGTTTAAAATTCTTGGAACTGTATAGTGAAGAATGTGTCCGAAGAGGGAAGCTAAAATAAGGCAGCATCATATTGTATCGCTACGATTGAATTGAATATTATGGGTTTATTATTATTTGCACCCAGTAAATATGGAATACTTTCACTCCACACTTATGGTAGAGCATGAATATTGAAACGATGTTATTAAGTTTTGAGATTTACATAGTAAATCTGTTCATTTTAATAAAATCAATAAAGTGGTGACGTTCACCGCCACCACTTGAAGAATAAAATTACATTCGTAATTTGAAGTTGTTTCCAAATTGATCCAGCGTTTTACAAAAGATACATGACCTAGGAAAATTACAAT